GGTCCTTTCCAAACTACCACGAAAGGCAAAGGAGCAATGGACCAGGTGTTTGGAAGTCGGCGAGCACACCAAAGTTTGTCTTTCTGGAAAGAGGCTGCAGGAGGAAAGATGCCAGCTCAGTGCACGTGTGCTGCTGCGGACGGCAGGGATTCCCGTCACTGGAAGATTCTAGACTAAGTTGGACAATTTCTCAGCAGAGACACTGTAAGAGGGAGATGGACTAGATGTCCTATAACATCCCTATTTTTTAAAAATAGACTATTTTTAGAGCAGTTTTAGATTCACAGCGAAATTTGGCAGTAGATACAGATTTCTATCCAGCCCCTGGCCCCACACAAGCATAGCTTCCCCCACTGTCAACATCCCCCACTAGAGGGATACATTTGTTTCAACTGAAAGACCTACTGTGACACATCACGGTCACCCAAATTCCATAGTTTACATTAGGGTTTACTCTCGACGTTGTCGATTCTATGGGTTTGGACAATGTATAATGAAATGTATCCACCATTCTATACCATGCAGAGTAGTTTTACTGCTTTCAAACTCTCCTGTGCTTCACCTGCTCACCCCCACCCCTCTGGCAAACACCGATCTTCTGTCTTCTTAGTTTTGCCTTTTCCAGAATGTCATATAGTTGGAATCACACAGTACGTAGCCTTTTCAGGTTGGCTTCTTTCACTTAATAATATGCACTTAAGCTTCCTCCAGGTCTTTTTGTGGCTGATCATTTCTTTTTAGTGCTGACTGATATTCCATTGCCTGGATGTACTAATATTTTTTCCAATTGTGTGTTTGTTTTTATAGACTGCTGGATAGCACTGACGGGGCAAAGGTGAAATAAACGGGAAGGGACGGCCTGAGAGCTGTGAAGGAGGGACGCCGCTGATACCAGGGGACAGTCTCAGAGTGGCTTGTGCAGAGACCACAACTCCACACAAACAGGGTGTGTAAGGGCTTGTTCAGTACACGTGACAGAGATCCAGCTCAGACCCTCTGGATCTAAAAAGTGACTGGCTCCTGTGACTGGTATTTCAAAGGGTAAGTCTGGATTTTCAGGCATGGCTGAAAGCAAGGCCCGAAAAGATGACCTCAGGGTCCTGGCTTTCTCTGCCTCTCGGGTTTGCTTTCTTCTGGGTTGGCTTCATTAGGAGGCAGACTCCCCCAAGAGGTGGCCAACAAGGCTACCTGGAGACGAGGCTCACTTTCCACCAGCTGACTGACACCGGGGATGTTAACATCCCTTTTCCCAGCAAACATCTCCTCGGACAGCCCTGAATGCCATTGGCTGGCCCTGAGAGAATGCCTGTGGCTCTGGTACCCACGTCTGAAATTAGGAATCGAGATCAACCCACCACTCATCATCACTTGGACAAAGTGAGAATGGGGCAGGGGAGGTTTCCAAAGGAAAATTGAGGTGCTCTTCCTAAAGAATGGAAAAGGGTTCTGAGCAAGTAAAATCTCATAGATGCTCCCAGGGCAGACTATAGGAAAACAGGGAGAGGTGTTGATACATATTACATGAAAGCAACAAAAACTGAACAGTTGTCTCAAAGCAATCAACTGAAAAAGAGCCTCGTTATGCTCTTTTATAATTGCAAATTAAATGTCTGGTGGGGCCCTATCTCTCTTTTCTGGGACTTTATGTTCTTTGGGATGCTAGAGAAGCGTGGAGGAAATGGTGGGTTCGCACTCTGCTTTCTTTACATTTCTAGTGTGTCTTCATGTATGGCAGAAACTAGAAAGCTAAACACATTTCCCAGACTTTTTTGTAGCTAGGGTAATGGATACAAAATAACTTCATAACTAGATGCACTCCCATAAGGTTTGCAAGGCAGAAGCAGGGAGGAGGCCATCTTCCTGAGGCGGGGTTGCTTTTTGCTGCCAGGCTCCACTGGGGAGATGCTGGCCCTTCTGCCACCCATCGGGAACTATCCTGTTCCTTGAATTCATTTCCTCAAGGTGAGCCTTTGCTTTCATTTACAGTCCACAAATATTTACCGAGTACCTACTGTCTACTGGCAAATGCTGAGTCCTCTGCAAACTAGTCCCCCTCCCACCTCCGAAGCCCCTGCTTCATACTCGCACATACACGTGCACGCATGCACACACATGCACACAAAACACAAACCCCTCAGCTGCTCAAGCTTTTACACATTCTTCCTTGGCTCCCACAGTCGGATTTTTAGTCCTACCTCGTAATCTTATAGCTCCCGAATTTCCCCCATCAAAGCATTTCCTCACACTCTATTGAAATCGCTCATTCATTTCTCTGTCTCCCATGCTAAATGTTAACTGCAGTGATGGCAAAGTCTGTCTTGGTTGCCAGCATAGATTGGGGACCCAGCACAGTGCCTGGTATACCCATGGCTCAGACATTCCATAAATATTTATCGAATTTATATTCCAGTATACTAAGGAATTCCAGAAACTGGGTTATCTCAGGAAGCTCTCAGATCTAAGATCAGCTGTAAAGATCAGTGGAGGTGATAGAAACTCTGGGTGCTGAGGCAAAATTAGAAGTTGATAAAAAATTTCTTTCCTTCCCAAGTTTCTCATATTTTAGCACCCCCCAACCTCACTTCTTTTAGCTTAAACAATAAGAAGGGGAGAGCGAGCGAGAGCAGCAGCATGGCATTGCATCATAGGAGTCGGTTTCACTGTGAACATTCTGGCTATTTCCTATGTTATTTAGCCTTTTCAGATTTGGGCTCTGTCTGTTATATTTGACCTTGGAGGAATTTTTCACCTGAGAGTTTGTTTTCTCATTTATAAAATGGAGTGACCTAGAGATGGCCATCCCTTTTTTGACACTGTTCCCATCTGAAGGTGTGACCTATGTCCCTGCCGCTTGCCCTTTAATTTGGGTGGGCTCCCCTTTGACCAACAGTACATAGCAGAAGTGATGCTATGCCGACTTCCATGCAGGAGCCTTAAAAGACTGGCGGCTCCCGCTTCCTGTCGCAGCATATTCGCTCTAAGGGAAGTCAGCGCCCACGCTGTGAAAGCCTGACTACCGCACGGAGAGGCCGAGCAGACAGAGAGCCGCAGGCTAGTCCCAGACGTCCCGGCGTTCCAGCTGGAATGCTGACGCCTGCGGGAAGGAGCACCTTGGACGCCCAGCCCAGTGAGGCTGAGGACTCCAGCTGCCATCCGACTGCAACACGAGAGACCCTACGCGAGAACTGCCCAGCTGAGCACGGTCGCCCCACAGAACTGTGAGCCACTGAGGTTCAGGGTAGTTTACAAAGCAGCGGTAAACGATGCAACTGGAAGCGATGATATCTACCGTGTCACAGGACTGTCAGGAGGGTAAATGAGATTTTTGTATGCTAAATCCCTAGCCCACAGCCTGGAATAAAAGCAGCCTTCAATATCTATCAATTCTCCAGCCCCTTCTCCTTCCCCTTTACTAATTCTATGAATTTCCAAAAAGAGGTAACTCTTAGTGCCACCACTTGGAGGTCAGAGGGGTGGAGGTGGGCTGTTTGATAGATGCTTAGCATTCGAAGAGCCCCCCTTTCTTTTCTCCTCTTGTTTGGTGCTTTCTTTTCATGCTCTAAGCATAGAGAGATCATTTAGACCTAAAATAAGAATATCAAGTTCAGCCTTTGTGTTTCAGACAGAAAAATCATAGGCTTGGGACAGGCTCATGGTAATAAATATCAAGCCCCAGAAGCATTTTAGAGTGAAAGCAAAATTCCCCGTGACAATTTTTGTCATATCTGTATGTGAGTGCCCGTGTGTGTGTAAAGCAGTTAAGCGAAAACTTTAGACTACACAGTTACTTCACCATGTAAGCATGATAGAATTACAGGCTTTTGGGGGGAGGGGTTTAAAAAGTACATGGTTACCTGTAAGTATAGTCTTGCTGAGTTTGATTTTATAGCACATCAAAATTAAAAAATTTGATTTAAAACATGCAGAAAGACATGGTTCATATTCTAAATGCTCTCCCCCCCTTACTCAAATGGCTCAATTTATTTCATTCTTGTGATCTCCATAGGAGTTCACCTTTTATTATGTGCTAAGGATGCCTGTGTTGCCAGTTATGTTGTCCATCCTAGAAAACCTGCTACCAAGGCGGTCTGAGATTACCTTTCCTCCGCCTTGAATTCCTGAGAACACTGAAACCGAGATGGGCAAGACAACCGGTTCATCGCAGTCTGAACTGGCTCAGCATCATAAATTCCATCAAATACCTGGTCAGTTAAGTCAAGGGTGGAAGAGGGATTAAACTAGATGCCTGACACGTGTAGATAAGAGAGCTGGTTTATAGGTTTACATTTATGGCTGTAGATACAAAGTTACAATGTTTGTCCCGGGATAAAAGCCTCTGGAGCATTTGGGGGCCCACAAGTTTCGAAGGAGGGGAGGGAAGGGGATTGGGTGGAGGAGCCAGCCCGGGGGTGACATTTGCAGTCAGTTCCAGCCACAGAGTAATCCTCAGATGGGGAATCCAGCGCCCTGCTGAGGATGCCTCCCCGCGCGGAGCGCGCCAGGGGTTGGCCCGGGACTTCAGGGGCGCGCGCGCGCACCCGCCCGGACGTGCACTCACCTTACTAGCCTGCCATTCCTTGTGACCAGAGGGAGGGGGGACCCTTTCTGGTTCTGCCGCCCCGTGTAGCCGGTCTCCAGGCACAGCTGGGGCGGCCGTTTCTTTCCGTTTCAGCCTCGCCGGAGGTGACGGTATGTGAGGCGCCAGAAAGCTCGCTCGGTAATTACGCCTTGATTTGCCCCTGGGAGCGCCCGGCACGCGCCCCGCGGCACCTGTGCACACGGGGGCTCGTCGGAGGGTGGGTGATGCGCCGCCCCGCCGGCCGGAGCCAGAGACCATAGGTCTGCAGACAAATGGGGGACAATATTTTGCCCCAAAATAAAAACTCACATTTTAGGAGAGTGGTTATGGGGTCTTTGTTACTAACTGCCACCGTAGCCAAATCTACAATCCGGATGCCACCCCAGATGCACCCAAGTCGGTGCAATCGCTCCCCGAGTTAATGGCACGGGCAGGGTGCGGGCCGCGGGCC